ACTTAATACAACATAACACACAGACGTCTTTGACATTATGTCAGAACTGTTCATTTTTAAACTAAAATTCTGGCCGTGTCTTACATATTGTACCTTAATCATAATTCGAATCATGAAGACACAAATTTATTTTTTAATTTTTAGTCACATACAGAATTTGATAGTCATTTAGGATTGTTACTAATGTTCAAGTGGGTGTTGTCTGCATAAAAACGGTCAGAAATATTGTCCTGGCAATTGGTTTAACCAAAGAGTAAAATATAAATACAAAACAGTATAGGACCATTGATGGATCTTTGCCCCCCCCCCCCGGTAACGACCAATATGGAGCAGACAACTGCTGGGCCAGTGAGACAAATAGGAGGCAGCATTTCACCTCTTTCGAGCCTCTGACTCCCCCTCAGCCAGGCTACTCTCCAAGCCAGGGGTTCTTAACCTTTCTGGCAGTCCGACCCCTTTCTGAAGTTCAAAATATTTCGCCCCTGCGTGTTTGTACACCTCACACACTCAAAACAGTGCCAGAGCAGGCGCCCTCCCTGTGTCTGTGTTTTTTAAAGCAGATATTTTTAGCAATAAAAGACACAGACCTGTGAGTTGTGATGAAGTTTCTGCTAATATGACCGTTATTACTTAGCAGCAAACCAAAGTTTAAAGATCGCTGGCGCTATAATCTTTGATTAGACTGACAGGACAGCTGATTCGGTGGTTGCCTATCAACATTAAAAAAAAACGCAGCGCTCTTTTTCCAAATTCAACCACGCTCTAGTCCCGACCCCCAGGTTAAGAACCACTGCTCTAAGCGATTCTGCTCCCCTGCTCTCGTTTAATCACAAGTGACGTTAGATCTTATCTTTATAATAATGTCATGAATTATGCTTTTTGTCTTCCAGGATTAGTGGGCGTCTCTTCTTCTGCAACAGTGAAGTTAAAGGACCATGGCTTTGTGTTTTATGTCTGTGGGGAGGGGCTGCCAATGTGTGTCTGCTCCTCTCTGACTCTGTTTAAACACAACTGAGAAATATGTGTAATAAGTTAGTAATAAAAAACAAATTTAACAAACAGCAGTGATAGTATTTCTATTAAGTAGCTATATTGGATGAACAGATTTGATATTTCATTGTGGGAATTGAAACTCCAGCAGAACAGCCAGGAGAGGGACAGAGAAATCAAAAGGATTGACAAGCATGAGACACATCATCAATTTACATCATATGTATCATTTATATTATTTATAGTAGATTATCGTTGTGTTTTCTTGCCAGATTTGCTTGCAGCTATACCTATACTGACTTGTCTGTGTTAACAGCCCAATTGGTTAACATGAGTGCAGAAAGGAGGCAGGCAGTGCTTCGGGGCGCTTCCTCCTCCTGTGTGGACAACGCCAATTTCACAGCCAGTCTGCCCAGTCAGACACAGGGAATAGAGGTAGTGGAGGAACGAGAGGTCGGGGAGCGCGAGGAAGAACAGCTCGTGCAATGAAAGACAATCCCTTGGGGTAACTCTACGTTTTTATCCTCTCATGTTGGACAGAGGGCAGACTGGATGCTGCAGTGACTCACTATCACATCTTAAGGCACAAGTGGTATTACAAGACAGCCGGGACTAGCTAGTTAGCATGCTAACTTAATACAACATAACACACAGACGTCTTTGACATTATGTCAGAACTGTTCATTTTTAAACTAAAATTCTGGCCGTGTCTTACATATTGTACCTTAATCATAATTCGAATCATGAAGACACAAATTTATTTTTTAATTTTTAGTCACATACAGAATTTGATAGTCATTTAGGATTGTTACTAATGTTCAAGTGGGTGTTGTCTGCATAAAAACGGTCAGAAATATTGTCCTGGCAATTGGTTTAACCAAAGAGTAAAATATAAATACAAAACAGTATAGGACCATTGATGGACCTTTGCCCCCCCCCCCCGGTAACGACCAATATGGAGCAGACAACTGCTGGGCCAGTGAGAGATGACAACTTGAAGCCCCTGCTTCTCCTCTGTAGCTAAATTCTGCTTTGTCTTTCTTTGGGAACAGTGATGAGACAGGAAGAAAAACAGCATGAAACTGCCTCCAGATTGAATTATGCATGCCTCCATCTGCTGACAGAGGACAAGTCTGTCAGGCCTCCTCAGCGTCACTACACACAAACAGATACATACACAGCTCACTTTACTCACGCAGGTTTATAGTTCATTAGCCCGCTGTGTCTATAACAAACGTAATCCCTCAGGTTAACTGTGCCACTCACTCTGCTGCAATGTTGATCCACATGGAATTGGCTGATTGAAGAGCAAACACCAAGCACGCATCAGTTTTCCCAGCAGGATGCTGTTCCTGAATATCCACTGTACTTCTATCTTACTGTGGTCCAATCAGATATTTCAAAGCTGATAGTGGCTGATATTTCATACATTTTCTTTTTCTTCTAACAGGATAGAGAAGCAATCGATCTAGGTGGAGAAAGGTCAAGGAGCAGCACTTGAACCTCCTTCATTGCCATATAGGAAATATAAGAAAACATGGGCTATATTGTCGTCCAGTGGGCTACTGGCTGTGCAAAATGCAGCACCAGAGCACACAAAAAAGAAATGTTGACAGACAGAGGAAAGAAAAATAAATTAAAAATTATTATTTTTAAAAAAGGTATTACAGAAACAAACGTGAGAGAGCTTGGGGTATGTTATGGTATGTATCAGGTTTTCATACAAGCTTTATGATGTAAATAACTGCATATAACAATTGTAAATTGTATATCTTAATATGCAGAGACAGTTCTGTTTTTGGATCAATAAGAAAACACATTTATTAAAGTATAACTTCTGTATTTTTCAATCTTTTTTTGCTGTGTGACTAATTGGGACAACATTTTTTAAAACTGGTCCAGTATTGAGTGAGCGCGCTGCAGTCGGCAGCAGTGAAACAGGGCTACAGTGTAATCCTTGTGGGCAGTTGCACCCCGTCAACATACACCCACTAAAAGTGCTTGTTTTTGCAACTGAAATAATTAAAACAAAAACAAACAAACACTCATGTGTACCCACGGCTTTTATAACTCTAAATCATTGCTGAATCGGGATTATGTGAGCCTGAGTCCTCTTTCCACTTCCAAATTTTACCATAAATACATATAAACACTTCCATGACTCAGTCAAATCTGAACACAAAGCCGTGATACACATGCAAATAAATGTTAATAAATCCACCCAGAAAAAAAGCTCTTTGTACTGCCAGAACTTGCCTGAGAATCATAACATTTATACATTTTCTTCAGCATCAAAGTAATCCAGTTGTCTGTACATCCATGGGTACATAGCGATGGAAACCGCTTTTAGGTAACTCAGCATACTTGCCAAAATATAAACAAACAGTGACAAAAAAATAAATAGTGCCAGAACTAACCGAGTCCATGGCAACATCCCCAAAGCCCCCAAATTATATGAACTTATTTACAAAACTTAAGCCTGATCAGTGTTAGACCTGAAGACTGCTGATTTCTACAGTTTATAAAGCTCAACCTGAAACAGATATCACAAAAACTACTGCAAAACAAAAAACAGTCAGCAATATTGGTTTAAAACCTAAACCAACAACAATTTATAACCAGATTCCATCTCTCACCTTACTTTTCATCTCCATCTTGACATATCACCCCTGGAATGCTCTAAAAACGCTTGTCCTTCTGGTCTCACCACAAAATCTGTTTTTATTAAAACCAGTTTATGTAGGCGAGCACATACAGGTGCTCGCCTCTATGTGCTCTAACTGTACTCCTGGTCTACTGAGAACCCATAATCTTATTCAACAGACTGACTGAGACCCATTATCATTTTAGTCTCGTGTATGACCTATTTGGTGGAAACAACTAAAATCTGTCATATTTATTCATGAACATGAATAATGGTAAAATCTTTCTTATCAAGAGTTTGACTTTAAACTAACCAAATCCATTTGTGTGTTAGCGTGTGTTAAAGCATGACTGTATCCACAATATCAGCCATAACAAAGCACCATGTGTTCACTAATGCAACAACTTTGTCACATGTTAAACATAATGACTGATGGCCTTGTACATAGACCAGGATTATAAATTATTATTATGTTTATTATTATTCTATAATTTACATAATGTCACAAACAGAAATTAAACATTTTGAAACATAACTCACTCACCTATTAAAAATGAAATAAAGTCAGAATAATAATGTATATGTGATATAGTAGTAGTAGTAGTAGTAGTAGTAGTAGTAGTATACTATATTGTCCTCGAAAGGAAATTTGTTTTGGACTGCATGGTTGCTGCATGTACATAAAAATATACAATATACAAGTATAAAAAGTATAGAAAGAGGAAAGACAATTAATTTACAAATTTAAAAGTAATAAGATAGACTGTTATTCAACATACGTGTAGACACAGGAACAAAAGAATTTTTATACCGGTTTAGTTTGCACAGTGGAACTCTATATCTTCTGCCGGAGGGGAGCAATTCATACTGAGAGTGCAGAAAGTGAGTTTGGTCCCCCACAATTTTCTGCACCTGATTTAAAATGCTATTCTCAAATAACTGTTGGAGATTCAAAGATTCCTCATTTCCAACTGTTTTAAGTGCTATCAACACCAGATGTGACAATTTGGATTTTAGCTGTATAGATAGGTTCCCAAACCATACTGTAACACCATACTTAACAATACTTTCTAAAACAGCCTTGTAGAACAGCATCATAATTTTCTTATTCACCCCATAAAAACGTAATCTACGTAAAAAATATAGTTTCTGGTGCAGCCGTGTGCAAACCCATTCCGTGTGAGTTTTCCAAGTAAGTGAGCTGTCTATATAAACACCCAAATACTTGTAAGTCTATATATACAAATTAGAATGAAAAAGTTATAAAATGCATCCTACAGAAAGTGGTCTAGCATGCAGACATGCTTTGGAAAAACTGAATAGAGAACTACAATTGTGTCTTCTAAATGATGATGTGCCAAACCTCTGTATTTAACATGGTTGTATTTATTTACAGTTCGTGGTTCTCAGCTGCTCCATCTATGTTACAGTGGCTCATGCATGGGTTGCTGCGTGATTCTGTGGGCTGCAGATGGTCTGGCGGTGAGAAGGCTGCGTACGCCAGTCCTCCTACCCAGATGGTAACGAGTGTAGAAATCACTCACACAGTAATCATCCTGGAGACACCTGGAGAACCAGAGCAAGAGTAAAGACAGGAAATGTAAACTAAGCGTTAAGTGAACCACTCAGTCAGCCTAATAAGGACCCGAATTTTCGTGTGAATGAAGGATGCACTCACTGTCTCTCCCACTCTGCAGAATGCAGCCAATACATTATAAAGGTTCCGCTGTGTTGAATATAGAACTGCATTAAACCATCAAGCCACTGCAATGTCATTTGATTGATCTAACACATTTTGTACTCCATTTAATGATAGCTGTCTATACCATGCTGCATGCAGGTTAATATGGGTACAGGCACAGTCAATTTGTATCCATCATTACAATGACTGTGTCTGAGCACATGTACAATTCATATTTAATGCAATGGACCTCCTCAAAAAAAAGAAACATCTCTCAACGTGGCTGTCTATCTGCCAGTAGCTGCTTCTCTGGCGGTAACTTGGCACAGAAGAACTACCAAACAACCCAACCTAGCCTGTGAATGAATGACACAGCCCAGCAGAATATAAAACTGGTCTTTGATAACACTGAACATATTTCCCAAGGGGTAAGGACAGCCCCCTGAGGGACCTCCAGGAGGTCCCCAGCTGAATGGAGAGTGTAGAGGCTTTGCAGTTGGGTCATAGGTCTCCTAATAACCACATGGATATTTGCTATGGAAAAATAATGTCTAAATATTAATCGATTTGAAACGTCCAGCTCTCTTCACCCTGCAGTCCTTAATCACTAATTACTCTTTTGTTCGACATCAAAGAGTAAAAAAAAAAAATTATGAATTCAGAGATTGAAATCATGCTTTCTGGGATCCATAAAAGAAAGTATCATTCTTAACAGCGTCAGTGAATTAAGGCGAAAGAGTTGGATCAGTGTGTCTATCTGCAGAGTTGCGGATCTAACAAGTTTCAAATTGCAGATATACAGTATATATCTGCACGCTGTCACCCTCTTTCAAGGGCTTGACACGCTAAGGCATCTGAAAGATTACACTATACATTTATAGAGACAAATCTACCTTCGATTAGTGTATGATTTAAGTTGCATATTGTAGAGTTATACAATAGCATTGGTGGAACCTCAATTTCTTTGGAAAAAAGTATCTATTACCTGCAGAAGAAAGATACAGATTCCATATACAGAGGACCAGCTGTGCCGGTGAACCTGCCACCAGCACAGTGTCCTATAGTCAGAATCCAAGCCATAAAGGACACTGTCTTATTATCTAAACAAACGCTATACTTTAACCACTCATTAGTGTAAACACTATTCCCCTGATACACATAGCATTAACTAGCTTTGTGGATAATCTGTGCAGCATTAGCTGCTTTAAGTGTTGTTAGAGAAAGTATTGCAGTGATGAACTAGGGAGAAATGAGGACAGTTCACTAAAACTGCCACACTGTTTCAGAAATAAATCTACAATCTTGCTGTCGACAGCGTAGCCTTCACCACTCAATGTAACATTAAACGTAATGTTACTGCTGTGAGCCGGGAGAGGGCAGTGAAAAGAGAGGGTTAGCAAGTCATGAATGTTTTCGGGAGAGGACAAGGGCTATTTTCATTAGTATTTAAGTCTGGTATTTCACGTGACGAATGACCAACTCACTGGTAACACAGCCACCGTTGTCTCCCGGAGGACCCCGGTCAGCTGAATTTTCTGTGGTGTTGCAGTGTTGTTAACAGGGGAGCTGCAGAGCGCTCTCTGGTGGGCAAACTTTGCCGCACTCGTGACATAAGTGAAGGATCCGACTCATTCTTTAATAGTCATAAATCGGCTGTTATAATCGCTGATACAGATTTATCTGCAATTAGCTCATACCAGCCAATAGTATCTTCATAACAATAAATTGGTCAGGCTCTAGTGCTCATGCCAGATGTCTGTTGCTAGAAGTCATTAACAAAACAAAAGTAATTATATTTCATAACAAACTCTGCCAAAGTAAGTATGAACTAATTACGGGGATTGACAGTATTGTCAATTCTGTAAAAAGAAGTCATGTGGTATGTTTGTGTAAAGGCTAGTCACATCTAATGTTAATAAAATAGCAAAATCTGAAATATCATAAAGATGATAGAAGACCCAAACACAGACAGAATGTGAAGACTGCTACTTTTAAACCAAACGAGGATTTTGGATACTTTGATTTTATTATCCAATGTTTGCATATAAACCAGTAAAAAGTAGTTACTGTCCATTATAGTTTGGGAAATGTACATTTTTGATGGTGAAATATGCATTCTAATTGGCAAAATATCCAGTCAGTGGGACGATTGCCTGGGGCGGCTGAGGCTCAGGAGATAGAGCGGGTTGGCTGTTAATCGGAAGGTCGGCGGTTCAATCCCGGCTCCCCCAGGCTGCATGTCGAAGTGTCCTTGGGCAAGATACCGAACCCCCAATTACCCCAGATTGCAGTGTGTGTGAATGTTAGTTTCTGTTTGAGCACTTAGGCTCAGTGAGTGAATGCTGATGTAGTGTACAAGTATGGAGCATTTACAAGTCATGGTTCCTGGCTGTCCTCATTTAGAACCACAACTGTTCCTCCTTTCTTGGCAGTCCTCCAACAATATAATTATCAGTGGACAAACTATCAGGTGCTTGACGCTCTTTTAAGGATAAAGTGAAGAGACCTTTATTCTTGTCAGTTCTGAACAAGGATGAGATCTCCTGGACTATTAACCTATAGAAAGTGGCCACTGAGGAATGGGACTGGGAGAGTAAAGATACTTTTGAATTTCAAATTAGGCATAATATGTATAGCGTCAACAGGTGAATGAGGGGCATGCTGCATAGGAAGGGATGGGGAAGGTATTTTCTCAAGAAACTCTAGTTTAACAGATCCATCCATCCATCCATCCACCGTCAACTGCTTATCCTGCGTACAGGGTCGCGGGGGCTGGAGCCAATCCCAGCTGACAAAAGGCAGGGTACACCCTGGACAGGTCGCCAGTCCATCGCAGGGCAGTTTAACAGATCTAAAAGGATCAAAATATAAATCCTTCAACAATACTGATCATCAGGAGTCAGGAGCCATTGAGAGGTTGAAGACATTCAAGTCCTTCGCCGCCATCTGAATTTGGTGCATTTGATCCTTCTTGCCGCCCCTCCGCGTTGGGCATCTCTGCGTTGGGCGGTGGCTCTGGTTAAGTGGTGGGGCATGTCTACAAAAGAGTGAAAACTAGATGTAGCAGCTGGGCCTCCATTGCCTGAGTCCTCTGTGGACAGATTGAATGAAGATGATGAAACCTCTCATCTGTGTGGACAGCTGTGTGGCCTGACAGCCATGTTTAGACATTGGTCTGAATAAAGTCCTTGACTCTACATTAAGATGTCCTCAGTGGATCAATGAGAACATAACCGCGGGCAGAGCAGTTGGCGCCGGTAATGTTTTTATAAACAGTCATGAACCTTTCGGCAGTATTTCTGAATAATGTGACATTCCCAGAGCAGGAAAAGAAGACTCCCTTCAACACTGCAGCACTTCCAACAACCTTGATACCCTCGTAACAAATATGATCCAGAGATGCTCACAAGTCTTTGAGCTAGAGTCCAAGTCAAGTCTCTGGTGGTTATTACGAATGCTGTATCACCTGCTGCGTTCCAGGTTGCTAATAAAACTGCATGGCTATAAGGAATTCTGTAACTGTAACCTGTTTTTCATTTACAGAGCACAACCATGTAATGTGCAATGCAATTATTGACAGCTTAATACTGTAAGTCAACGCACTCCCCAGACTCTTAAATCCAGTATAATGTTAACTAAATAAAACTGACGTTGCATAGTCAACAATAAACCTGTAACCTGTTTTTAACTTACAGCTCAACACAACCATGTAGCCTAATGTACAATGTGTCTAAACTACTGTAAGTCAACAAACCCTGTTGACTCTCAAACCCAGTGTAAGTTATGACTAAATAAAACTTAAAAGTTACATGGTCAACAATAAACCTGTAACCTCTTTCTAGCCAACGGCAATAATTAAGCTGACGTAATGATTACGTTAATCGACCACCACAGGTTTGGCAAGTGAACAAACGCTCATTCATCTTTTCATAACGAACAACAGTCGTAGTTTAGGCTACCTCTCGCCGGTCGTAGCTGAAGCAAGAAGCAAGCTAACGTTAGATGGCCAATGCTGAGCTAAACATGTTTACTCACCACAGGTTACTGACCTATTTGCATTCAGCACGTCTTTGTTTGGGTCTTGTTGTATGAAGTTTTAAAGCCAAAGTTTATGATGAATGGCGGAGCAGCTGCCGGTGTTTGTTGTCCTCTCACGTGCGGCCGCGCACAGCAGATGCTACGTGTTACGTAGGCAGGTTATGGCAACAGACGGAGGGGAATAACGGCAAGCTCATCAGATGTTCCCTAAAAATAAACATTGTCCACGAGTCCCGCACCTCGAGTCTGAAGTCTTTTGATTACAAGTCTCAAGTCGAGTCTGGAGTCACTGTGTGTGCGCGACTTAAGTCGCACTCAAGTCCGAGTCTCTAACTCGAGTCCCCATCTCTGATATGATCACACTCTCTCTGTGATATCAATGTTTAATGTTGTCGAGTTAACTTCAAAGCATAAGATACGGTAACTTTTGCTGCTGGAAAATCATTGCATAATAAATAGACACTTCATGTCCAGACCCATTATCTTTGTTGTCTGAGAGAGAAGATCTGACTGTTGAGGTGAGATTTTCCCAGACTAGCAAGTGTGGGAGTTGCATGTAGGCTACTTCCAGAAACTATACTTTTGAACAGATTGATTCAGTAACCAACCTCTCAAATTACTTCAGACCAAACCCTCATATCTGCTAATATTAGATCCTTTTTCTAACCAGACCTTCCATAAAAATGGTTATTCCAAATAAAGGCTTTAAGATAAACATTTACATGATAAGCTTGAGAATCCGTGTTGATTATTTTGTTTTTTAATTTTAAAAACGCAAAACAGATGAACAACAACAAAATAATAACATCGGTTTTGGTTTTTCTGTTTTAAAGCCAAAATGGAAAATATTGATTTTGATATTTAATGTGTCCCATTTGTGTAGCTTTGTGTGTTAAACAAACCTGCAGCAGATAATATGGCGAGGGCGTTGCTGATTAAATGTAATTAAGATGAGCTTGATCATCAACATAAGTGCGTTTTTAGTTAGAAGAAAAAACAAAATAAAAACAAAAACACAATAGGAGGCTCAGCATTCAATTTGTACCTCACTAGCGACTGGAACAGGAACTCCTCCGAAGTTGCCTGAGAATCCTCAGGTTTTTAAGATTTCTTCAGTATTAAATTAGTTTATTGTTGGTGATTCAGTGATAGCTGTCAGTACATCCAATGGTACACAGCAAACATGAACTGGAATTAGTTAATTCGGCGAGCTGTAAATGAACAAATCAAATTTTTAAACTGGGTAATTTTGTTCATTATTTAAATACCACACCATGCTGGGCTCTTTGTTGGGGGGTTGTTTGCTCGTGCCTCAAAGAGGGGGCTGACTGTGCCTCTTGCTGCGTAGTTCACACCCTGGCCGTGGCCTCGAGAAAAAAAACCTTGATAAACATATCGGGTATTTTCTTAGATCGCTCAGGTAACCAGCTGCTTCAGATCAGCCCAAAATAAAATGCTACTGGATGCTGACAAACGTAATTAGTAGTTGACTGGAAATAAAAGAATTGAGTGTTTGAGTGGCTTGCTGGCAAAGCAACGCACCTCAAAGAGGAACTGTTTTTGCCCTAGTGAGTTCGAACCCAGCTTGACATGATCTTGCTAAAACGTAGCCTACATTTTCTTTCATTTCTATTTATTATATAGTGCTCACTTCTACAATCATATTCACCGCAGTCACTACGAGATTAGGGTTGGGTCGATAGACGACACCATTGTCATCTGTTTTTTGTTTACCATTTTGTCAAACGTCTTGTTTTTTCTGATTTGGTTTTGAAACGAAATAATCAAAGAACGAACCATACACGGATTTGTGAGATCTTCTTCCATACAATGTAGAGGTTGACTACGGTTGGGTGAGGTTATTTTGCTAGATGGAGCATTTATAGGGGCAAGTGGGGAGTTCACTCATACTAGGGAGGTGCCCTTCCACGTCAAGTTGGCAATGTCGATTGAGCTATATGTCTAAGGCAGAATCTTACAATACTAGTTAAGCGAGTCCCATGCCATCCTTAATGATAAGATAAATGGTGACTACCTTTACCTACCAATTACTTTACTAATTTGACTAGGAAAGATAATAGCAAGACATTTTATACCAGCCTGAAATAAAGTTTTTGGTAAGTAACATGTCAGTGGTAGAGCCTCTGACTAAGACTAATTAACCTTATATTCAAACAGCTTGGAGAATGATTCAGTTTTATCCAAAAGCACTGGAACAGACACAGAGCATAAGCACACACACCTATGGTACCACCAAAGATAAATTCTGCTATGGGGCCATCAGACCTGACTTGTGAGCCATGTAAACAATTTGTCAATGCTGCACCGTCACACCTGACACTGCAGTGCTCTAACAACTACCTCTCCTTTAAAACAGTCGGTCTCTGTAATATGCCTGAATGGAAACCTCTTCTAGAACACACTATTGCTGATTTTAATGGACCTCTGCGCACTAACTCAACCCTCCATTAGGGTTTGAGCTGCTTGTATCTGATGCTGCCTGTAGACGTCTGGCTGAGGCTGCTTGTGTTTCACTTGGGTCTGTATGACCTTCGAGTGGCCTTTTATTGTGACCAGCCTAAGGCCTTTTATTGTGACCAGCCTAAGGCACACCTGTGCAATATCCACGCTGTCTGATCAGCATCTTGATATACCACACCTGTGAGGTGGATGGATTATCCCTGCAAAGGAGAAGTGCTCACTAACACAAATTTTGACAGATTTGTGAACAAGATTTGAGAGAAATAGTGTACATGTGTGTACATAGAGAAAGTTCAGCTCATGATGAATGGGGGCAGAAACAAGTGTTCCATTGTTAATTTTGTTCAGTGCAAAAACGTCTGGACTGGGTCTGTGCTAGTCCTGGATTTTGATTATCTGTGCTTGTACTGGCTTATGATCCAGCATCTACTCTACTGACAAACTTCAGCATAGTCCCTGTAAATTATAAATATCAATACGTGCAAGATATTAATGTTTTCAGCTGCATCAAGCCCTGCGGTTTATAAATATCGTTGCACGTCGGCTGCTCCGCTGGTTTGGCAAGACAGGGAGAGATTCAATGCAGATACACATGCTGTTCACATCTGACTTTGAGAGGAGAGAACACAAGTTTACCTGATCGCTTGTTTGCGGTGTGGAGAAGGCTGGAGGACCCAAATGCAGGACGCCTAGCAGAGGAGGTATAGTACAAAAGGTTTATTTCAACGAACAAAAGGCGAGCACACTTACTGGCAGAGTGGCTGATAAACAGGGTCCAAAAACCAAGGTAATCCAAACAGAAATCCAAATCCACAGAAACAGGGTGACATGACGAGCAGGTCAGGCAAAACGATACAACGCGAGACAGAGCGTCTACACGCTACAATGACCGGACAAGGGCTGAACAGAAAGACCACACATATATACCAGGGATAATGACTAGGTCGGGAGCAACACAGGTGAAAGACCTGAGGCTAACGAGACACAGAGGAACACAGAGGGAACTAATAAAACCATAGGGAAACTAATAACCAGGAAGAAACAGATATAAATAACTGATCCAGAACACAAGCAGACAGATCACAAATATACCAATAAACTCCAACTAAGAGGGACAACAGACTGAACTGAGATTAAACAGAACACAGATCAGACAAGGGTAAAATAACACAGAAGTACATAGACCAAAAGTAAACACTAAACATGAACTAAATGAGAGAAACAGAGGCAAAACAGAAGGATACATGAAGCAATGGCAAAACCCAGAAACCCACAGGGGAAAAAATACAACTCATAACACCGCTATTCTCAAAAGTAACTCTCATTGAGTTATTTTCTTTTTGTGCCTAGGATAGTCCCTCGTAGTCCTCTCATCAACGTTGTAAATACTCGCTTTCAACATTGATTAGTTTTTTGCAATGTTTAATTTCTTAACAACGGGGGTTTTGAGGCTAGCACGCTGCATATAGCTGGCAGTCAAAATCCACTGCACACGCTCACATTGTCTACGTCGTCTAATCTGTTATCCAGTATCTTACATAGCAGTTGACAATAAACTGAGATCAAACTTATATACCTGAGGTCTTCAGCATAGCATTTGAAGAATTCAACCCTAAAGCTGTCCTGACCAGGGGATTTGCCTGTTGGAAGGGCCTTGACCACTTCAATTATCTCCTGTAACTTATAGGTGAATCTATGCCCTCTTGTTGTGCAACACTTAGAGAGGATTAAATTGTTGAAAAATTATTTTATGTCTTGCCTGTGGCAGATGTAAGTAGATTTATATAGAATTTCTTGAATCTGTAATTTATCACACTAGACTTAGTAAATTCCTGCCACTAGACCTCACCGCTGCTAAAGAAGATTTGAGCTTTCTGTTTGATGTACCAAGCCAGAAATGTTCCCTCTTTATCCCCTGATTGTAAAATAGTCTGCCTGGCCTTAAACAAAAGAAACCCTTTTCTTGGATAGTATACTCAAACTCAAGGTGAGTCAAATATGTGAACTTAGTAACATTAGCCTTCTTTTTTTAGATCCATGATTTCAGATTGCATTTTGCACCTGTGCCCCTGATACAGTGTTTAAGATTTGCTGTTACTTTTCACTATTATCTACACACAAAAGAAAACAATGCACATTAAAAAATGCAGTCACAGTTTAAAATCCCCTTACTTATTTTGAGTCATGTCATCTGTTCTTTTACATGCCTGAGATTTTCATTTTAAACAGCCACCCATCGTCAACCGCTTATCCTGCATACAGAGTTGGGGGGCCAATCCCAGCTTACATCGGGCGAAAGGCGGGGTACACCCTGGACAGGTGTACAGTCCATCGCAGGGCCACACATAGACAAACACCCAGTCACACTCACTCACACCTAAGGACAATTTAGGGTCACCAATTAACCTAGCCTGCATGTCTTTGGATGGTGGGAGGAAGCCGGAGTACACGGAGAGAACCCACGTGGAAACTCCACACTGAAAGGCCGGGCAAACAGGGTTTGAACCCACAACCTTCTTACTGTGAGGTGACAGTGCTAACAACTGCACCACCACAAAAAAAAAAATATGTATGCATAACTTGCATGAGTGAAAAAATCAAGAATAGACTGGCGAGGAGGGCAAATTATATTTACCTTTCCTCCCTTAGTTCAGCAATCACTTTTATCATGTTTTAATAGTACTGTATTGTCTAACTCAAAGAAAGAGTAACAGATGTTGAGGTTTGCGGCTGTCAAGCAACATGCTTCCTCATTGAGATACATGTCATGTTTCATTTCATGGTAACATTGACTAACATCCCAGCATATGCATGGCATGGATACATGGAACTCCTTTTACTGTACAGAATGAGTATAAATGGAGGTAGCTGCTGTCTCCCTGCAGGTGTATGGGATGGCAGTGTCACTAAGGGGTCTCCTGGGTGAGTGTGTGTGTGGAGCCTTATCAGCGTCTCACTGTAGCTGTCTGTCCGTCCATCCTTTAATTACACTTCACTTCACACTATGACAGCACACTTCAGTGTTGTCATAGCTTCACTGCAGTCTAAATGTCTATGGTCTTCACTGTTCACTCATTGTGCAACACTCCCTCATACCTAAGCAACATAATGGTTGTTTTACAATGACTGCCAAAACAACGGCCGTTGGAGAAAATAACATGACCATTGGTACCAATGAAAGCCCGTGGTTACACAGGTTAAGTTATATCACGTAACTAATCTTACGTAACCATGGCGACGTAGGCTGCAGCTTGGTTTTGTCGCTGACATCCAGCCATTGTTCACAACTAGCCAGGTTAGCTATTGTTACTCAAGTTGATAAAAGAAATTGCATTGTGTGGTATTTACTCATACTGAACACTGTAGCAACACGTCCACTGACAGCAGCTGGACAGCACTTTGTGTACAAACATTTCTATGAGACACAAATACACAGAAGTGCTAATAAACAGTTTAAACTACAGCTTTCACTAACTGTGAACACAGAGCAGCCATCTTTGCCATCTATTTCCGAGTTTGAACCCATGTCAAATGGAATGCACCCTTACAGGCCTGCGACAGCCACAGATACTGGATTTAAAGAAAAAATCCTAGTAGATTTGATGTATTGATTGCTGCCGGGATGTAAAGAGAATTACAACAAAAATCCTTCTGAAATAATTTGCCAACCCCAGCTTTATAACTTAATTCTTACTTTTTTTCAGTTAAATTACATTTAAAGTCAGAAGTAAGTCCCAAGTCAACCTTAGACTTTGTGTGCCTTTCTGTGTGGAGTTTGCATGTTCTCCCCGTGTCTGCGTGGGTTCTCTCCGGGTGCTCCAGCTTCCTCCCACCATCCAAAGACATGCAGGCTACGTTAATGGGTGACTCTACATTGCCCTTAGGTGTGAATGTGATTGTGAGTGGTTGTTCGTGTCTGTGTGCCATGTCATGGACTGGTGACCTGTCCAGGGTGTACCCCGCCCCCCTCGATGCCAGCTGGGAATTGAGTGGATATATATAAAAGACATTTCAACCATAAAATGTGTTCTTGGGTTTAAAAAAACACAGGGAAACCCAAGAACACACTAAGACAGATGCTGGTCCACCCCAAAGACCGCACACCCAAACACAAGAAAAGCAATCTAGTGTATGCAGTCCAATGCAGTGAGGAATGCACAGACCTGTATATTGGGGAGACTAAACAGCCACTACACAAACGCATGGCTCAACACAGAAGGGCCAACTCCTCAGGTCAAGACTCTGCAGTCTACTTACATCTGAAGGACAGAGGACACTCGTTTGAGGACCACCAGGTGCACATTTTAGACAGAGAAGATGGATGGTTTGAAAGAGGTGTCAAGGAAGCATCTACACCAGGGTGGAGAAGCCGTCATTGAACAGGGGAGGGGGTCTACGCCACCACTTATCCCCCACTTACAATGCTGTCCTTTCATCACTTCCCAGGAAACTCAACAAACGTAACCTATTGGCCTCAGGTGAAGATACCAACGATGGTCGTTCAGTCTTGGCCACAGGTAGTCTTAACGACTGTAACGACAGTCGTCACAGCAACAAGGAACACTAACGAAACAGCGGTATCGATGACCCGGGCCAACGACCCCACTGAGGTTAAATAGCTGAGTTTCCCTGCCAGTCAGTCAGAACTGAAGAAGTCCTTTGGATGAGGGATGAAACGTCTTCCAGTATCTTCAACCAAGTCCAGTTGCCCTTGATTTTAACCTTCGTTGGATAACTATGACCTGGATGACTGAGAATCTTCATAGACATAAATGGAATAGTCATTAATGAAAGGACTGAAATTCCAAACCAATTTAATAGATTCTTTATCCAATCAACTGAGGAATTGGCTGCCAGTTTCCTACCAGTTCAGTTACAACACACTGACAGACCAGTCAATCTTCTTGTATAAAAGGGGTAGACCAAAGTGAGACTGCTGAAGTTTTTAGGCAGTTACGGCAATCTAAGGCCAAGGATTATTTTGGCTTGGATACCGCTTTTATTAAAAAACACAGCTCTCTCCTCTTAATGCCAGATACACATTTCTAATGAATTTCTTCAGCACTGGAAAATGGCTATTATAACTCCAGTCCCTAAGTCTGGAGCATCTGACCAGGTCTCGAATTATAGACCAATTAAGTTTTACCTGCACTCTCAAAGGTTCCCGAAAAAACAGTTTCCAAACAACTTGTTGATTATCTTAAAAGTAATCATCTCCTACACCTCAAAAAATTGGGGTTTAGAACACGGCACTCAACAGAGTTATCATTAGACGAGAGTCATTATATGAAGGCAATGAAGTGGGGTAGAATAAAGATTGACGAGAAGGAGATAGATGAGGTACATGAATTCAAAACAAACAACAATTACACCCATTAGATCATTATACTGTATAAACAGGCACAAAAATAATGGAAATCAGTAATCTGTAAGATGGCACCACTGCCTCATTCTACGGAAACATAATATATTGAGTTTTGACAGTTTTGTAAATTTAAATCTTTCATTCAAGTGTGTGAACAACCTTGCACCAGAAATGCTCTGTCAACTAGTAGAGAAACAAAATAGCAGAATACGAACTAGAGGCAGCAAAATGTAAAGCAGCATTTGGTCAGATAATATAATAATAATAATCCTTATTTGTAGAGCACTTTTCAAAAACAAGTTACAAAGTGCTTTAACAAGTGTAAAGAATAATACAAAAAACAAGATAAGAGCATGAAAAATTAATATAAAAAGACATAGTTTTCAGGAAGAGGCATACATTTGTGGAATGCTTTACCACCCGAAATTACAATACTGACAGAACTCAAGATTTTTAATATACATTTAAAGCAATGGGTGAAACTGAAACAACTCTGTGACCATT